AATAGTAACATTTTATTATATTAATAGATAGCAGCATACCCTTTGTACTATCAGTAATACACTTTGTAAAACTTATAGCAAGTTCAAAAATCAACAAATTAAAAATATTTTTTTATTTAAAAGACTATTACATGTTATTTTATAAATTTATTTATTTTTATTTAATATTTATTATAAAATTAATAAAATTTTATAATGTTAAAAATGTAGCATTATTTAGTATTTACAGTATACTACACATAATATATAATTAAAAATTTCTGTATAATCTCAAAAAAAAATTTTAAGTTGTGCATTTAAAATACAATAAAATAGTTTTAAATAAATATAAATATTACTTTTTAGCATATTCACTATATATATTATGAATATAATAAGTCTAGCAAGTTGTATATATACACTATTTTATCTTACAATTATAACATATAGTTGTACAATTATGGCATCTTATGCAACAATATTAAACATATAATTTTTTTGCATCATAAAGTAGCAAAAATATTCTAAAAACTAAGAAGATCATGTTCAAAAATATCTAAATCTATTCTTTTTCTTTTTTTAGTTTGATCAGCCACATTTTTACCAGAATAATTATTAAAAATAAAGGCTACTAACTGCTTATAGAAATCTACATGCTTAATATTTTTTTATTAGGTACAAATTGACAGTATGCAAAATAACTATTTGCTTTTACAACTGAAAGATTAAAAGCAAAAATACGATTAGCAGAATGTTTTGTAGTAAGGATATTATAGCAAGAAAGTATATTGTCATATAAGTTATTAAGTATATTTATAGTTAATTGATATTTATTATAGTTATCAAAAATAACAAGCTGCTAAAATCTTATAATACCAATATCTTTAATATATCTTTTTATTTCAGTTTTAAAATTTGTTGTAAAACAACTAGCAAGAAGTACAATATCTTTATAATCATGAATTGAACACAAAACAAGATCAATACTATAAATATTCCAGTTTTACTAACAAATAATTCATAGTCTTTTTTAAATGCACTTATTATATTATGCAAAATATTTTTTGGCCAATAATAATACTTTTTTATTTATAAAATAGAATACAGACCATATTTATATAATGTAACAACCCATTTATTTCTAAACTATAAGTTTGCAATAACTGTTCTATCACTATTAAATTATAGTTTTGCTAATCACAATATAGTTGTAATTGTTAAAAGATATTGATTAAAAAAATTTTTTTTATTAGCATATGTTAGAGGCTCTATAGGATCTAATTGTAAAAACAAATTAGACTGAACATTAGCAATAGCTTTAAATTTGCAGCCAATTAAATGAGATTTTCTTGATATTTTATATTAAAATAGATTTTTATTAACCTTGTTCATTCACTGACACATTGACTCATTGATATAAAGATAATTAACAAATGTAATAGTCTTATACAGATTATTATTAAATGCATTATAAAACTTACAAGCAAAATAAAATGAATTACTATTCTTTAATACATCTGATAATGTCAAATATTTGACTATACTATAAAATTATTGATAAAATATATATTGTCCAAATCCTAATGCAACACCATCTGTTTGTTATTTAACTGACTAATAATTCTGCTTATTAGCATACTGTACATATGTTATAATTGTTAAAATTCTAATGAACTGCATAACCTTTACTCAAGTTAGGTCTTTTTAAGAATGTTCACTTTCCTGTATACACTTGTTTGTTGATAGTATTACTATTAATAAAATGTACTCTATAAGCAAAAAATGCTCAAAAAATTGTTTCAAAGATGCATAAGCAATATCAGATATATGTACAACTAGTGCATTTGAATAAAAGAGTATAAACTGATGAGAATCAATTTTTACAATAAAATTTCTTTACAAACTGCCACTTTTACTACTAATGTTAATTTCTTTATCTTTACTTTGTTTACTGCTGCTTAATATGTCAGTCTTGAATTTACAAACAGCTAACTCAGCTAATAAATTACTGTTTTTATTATGAAGACTATGACTTGAACTTTTGTTAATTACAAACTTCATATAGATCACAAAAGCTTTAGTTTTTACTTCTAGATTTTTATCAAATCTGATTATCTAATAATTTTTATCAGATACCATTTATAGAACTGTGGCTGAGATTTGCTTAGTTTGCTATCTTTTTTTAAAAAATAGACAAGCAATTGCTTTGGCTACAACTAATTCTAAGATAGTTATCTTGAAATCTTTTCTAATATATGAGGTATATTTCATAAAATGAAAAAAAAAGTTATAAAAAAAGAAAGTTTTTTTTTAAAAAAAATTGCTACAAGCTATACAATATCTGTAACAATGTTTTGTAGCAGAAGTTTGGTTTGTTAGGTAAGTATTTTATGATAATTTTTGATTACTTATTTTATTAATCAATTTTTTTGTTTGTATCAGTATTCTTTTTATATAAGAAATTTCTTGTTAATAATGACTAAAAAAAAAAAGTTGGAAAAAAACTAAGCAATTTACTTATAAATTATTTATTACATTATTTTGCTAATCTTGTTTTATCTAAATGCATTTACAATCTCTATGATCAAATATTAATATATTTTAGCTTAATGCTGCAGATCAATCTACACTATATATAAATTTTCTAATAGAAGAAATTATTGATGTTACATAACTGATTTTTTATTCAGTATGCAATATATAAAAAAATTATTTTACAATACCAGATCATTCCATTAATGCATGTTATAATTATAATTCTACACCATTTTTATTATAATAAAATAATATAAGATTATAATCATAACATGTACTAGTGAAATGATTTGGTATTGTAAAATGATTTTTTTATATATTGCATACTGAGTAAAGAATTAGTTATAAAACATTGACAGTTTTTTCTGTTAAATTTTTTGCACAAAATATGTAGTGTAACCTATAATACATAATTATCTACTTAAGAAAATGATAATTACAAAATATGAAATCAAGTAGTTTGTTTAATTAATTAGCAGATGCTTTCAACAACTGTCACAATGTAGTACAGTATATTGCTATCTATTAATAATATAATAAATTTTAAAGCCAAAGAATATTTGAATAAAGAAAAAATTAGTAGAAATAATAAATACAATTTTTAAATTTTATTAATTAATTATCACATGTTTAAATATCTAACTAATTATAAATTATTATTTAATTTTATATAATTGACCAATTATAAGAAAGTTATCCTATAGAGTACTAAGAATATGCTGTAAAGTAGATGCTAAGATTTAGATAAACTTGACAAAAACATAATAATTTAATAATTAGCTTTAACTAAAATATTAGTTTAACAATAATAATACTAAATTAGCTATAAACTAAGTATACAAAAGGCTTTAGAAAATTTATTTTAAAAATAAATTTGTTCTAAGATTAAAATAAAAATCCAAGTATAATTTGGTAAAGTTAATATAGAACAGGTTTAAAGGGTTTAAAATAGAATACTTAAGCAAAGATGTTAGTTATAGCAATTGGTAAAAAACTTTTAGCAAACTTTTTAAATAAGTAATATAAAAAAGTTACATATGTAGCAAATTGTATACTCTTTCTGTAGTAGTTTTTATAGAACTATATTATTTAAAAATATATTAATAGGATCTATATATACTTTTTTTAAATTATATGTGTTTAGAAGCTAAGTAAAACTAAATAGAAAAATAAACTACAATAGCAAGACAAACAAATTTAAAAAAGGTTTCAAAACAAAGGCACTTGTTCTTGTTACAAGAAAAAGATCTTTTAAAGCTTTTAACAATAATGGCAGTTTTTTTTTTTATTATTTACCTATTATTTACCCTTTATTCATTTATTCAACCTGTGATATTAATAAAAACAACCTTAGCTAGAATGAACAAGTAGTTCAAGAAGCTAAAACTCAAGAAAATAACAAATACATATAAGAAAGAACTTAAAAAGAATAGAACATACTTGACAAAAAAAAATCCTATCAGTAGAAAAAAATGACAACAATATAGTAATACTTTTAGAACAAGACAACAACACTATCATATGTAATGAAAAGGTTATTGAAGTCAATACACATAATAAAAAGGTCTTTGGAATCAGTATATATAATAAAGATAACATCAAAACAACAACACATAGCAAAAAGATTTCTGAGACTAGTATAAGTAATAAAGACAACATGAAAACAACAACATATAATAAGCCAATAAACAAACAAGATAACTTTACTTTGAAAAGGAATACAACTTCTAGCTCTAGTAAAATAAATAAACCATTAACAAAAAAATAGTCAAGCCTTTTTCTTAAACTTAAAAGAGGCCAGTTAACTTAATTATTTTTTTCTTCTAAAAATACAATTAAGTAAAAAATAAAAATGCCCTTATTATAAATATATAAAGCCTATGATGCTCTTTTAACAAAATTATATTATTCTTATTTGAACTGCTAAACATAACATTATTGCAGCTAAACAATATTTTATTAAAGAAACATAATTATATTTAAAATTAATCTTTATAAACAAAGAAAAACTAAAAAACTATGCAACAAAAGATGTTATAATTCTTAACAGAACATATTTTAGATATATTCTAATGTATATGAGAAAATCATTTTTGCCAATCAAAATCAAAAACATCCCACTAAGCAACAAAGAAGAACTGTTAAACTCAATCAAAGATACTTTTGAGAATATAGGTAAAATAGTATCAATTAAACTTCTGTTAATTGAAGGTACATCATATCTAACAGATCAGTAGATTATAATTTTTGAGACCACAGAGGATCTATTTTTAGAAGGTAAAATATCAAGGTTTATTTATATTTGGGATAACAAGATTACAACAGAGTGGAAGGCAGTAGCAAAAGTATACTACTTCTGTGAAAAAGAAGTGCATATTAAAAAGGAATGCCAGCTATTTCAAAAATTAATAGCTCTTTATCAACAATATCAAGACTTTAAAAAAAAGAATTGAATTATACAACAAAAAAATTTTTGTGAATATTAGATCAGAACAAGAATCTCATACAACTAATTCTGCTAACAAAGAAGAAAACCCATACTTGCAAGATAATATGTCTATTACTGAAGATGCAGACTTACAAGAAAATGCTTTAGTACAAAATGAACAAAATAGGCCTTTATTACTTTCAATAAAAATAGGCAACAATAAAAGAAACTCTATATTAAGTAAAGATAAGAACCTTTCACCTAATTTAGTACTAGCATTTTATAATAAACTGGTTGCACTATATCTTAATACAGAATTATAAGCAAAAAACAAAAACTCAGATAAAACATTACCTATAATAAAAGTTAACAATAAGAAGGTTCTAATACATTTTATAAAAAAGACAAAGATAAAAAAAAAAAGAGCTTACAGAATAAAAACCAATTAATGCCTAGTTTATATAAAAAATAATGCAATAAGGAACTTCCTTTACAGACCTTATTAAGTCAAAATTTTTTGTATATTTATATGTTTTCAAAATTCAAACTTAAAATCACAACTTTGAATATAAAAGAACTAAATAATCAAAACAAACAAAAAACATTAACATTCTTAAAATCTTATAATTTAGATTTAATAATAATACAAAAAACTAATCTCAAAAATAAAAACACTAGGAATTTTTTAAAACATCAATAGATATACAACTTATTTTGGTTAGACAAAATGGCAATTCTGGCTAAAAATAGAAACATTACCTTTAAAAATATGAAAATAGATCATGATGGATAAGTTATCACAGCATCATATGTCTACAAAGGTCTTTCATTTTTTATTACTAATGTGTATGCACCTTCTAATACTAGCAACAGAGTAAAATTTTTTGATAACTGGACTTTTTAAATAAAAGAAAATACAATAAACATTATAGCAGAAGACTTTAATGTAAATCTAAAATTTGAAGCAAACAGAATAAGTCAGGCAGTATCTTAGTCAAACCTATTCAGAAACCAACTTTTGGAATTAACAAAAAATTTTTTAAACATTGCAGAAATTGCAGATTCTAAGTCTTTTCTTATATTTTATTAAAAAACACAAGGTGGTAACATAATAGCAATCTGTTTGAATTACATATTTATTAATAAAAATTAATTATATTTAGTTTCTAAGGTTACTACACATTTTGGTAACTTTGATTATTTTCTAGTTAGCTCACTTAACTTCAACTAAAAACAAAAACAACTATTCAGCTGACAATTTGATAAAACTATGTTCAATAATAAAAAACTTAAAAAAGAAGTCTTAGAAAAAATCAGTAAACCAAATGCAACAGAGAACTAGAATCTTTGCAAGGTTTATATACAATTAATTATAAAAGCATTTAAAAAACTAAGAATAACAGAAAGCAAAATCTTAAAGCTTAACAATAAAATAACAAAGTTAAGTAAAAAAATAGCTGGTTCATTAAATACAGAAAGCCTGTTTTTATCTTTAGACAAGCTTAATATACAGCTCCAAGAGAAGTTAACAACTTTGGTAGAAAATAGCATATATATTTCAAAGTGCAATGAATAGAACAAGGCAAAAAATCAATAAAATTTTCTTTGCAAAATATAAACAAAGAAACTTTTATATAGCCTACTTAAAAATTAAAGTTCCAAATAGTAATCATTAAAATAATAAAAACATTTTATAATACATTAAAGAATAATATGCAGAAACCTATAAAGCAGAAGAGTTTAATAAGAAAGCAGCAGAAGAAATTACAGAAAACCTTCTACAAGTACAACAAGAATCTAATAAAGGTTTGGTTAAAAGAATTACAAAAAAGAAATAATAGAAGTTATATAAAACCTATTAAATAACAAGTTTTCTAAAATAGATAACTTAACATATGAGTTCTACAAACTCACAAAAGAAGCAATTGCACTAGTTTTGAAAAAGATCTTTAATAAAACTTTAAACTCTGACATCCTTTTAGTCTCATGGTGCAAGAATCTAATTATACTAATTTTAAAAAAATCAGAAGAACTTGACAATATAAACAACTGGTGATCTATTTTACTAGTAAATAGTAATACAAAAATTTTTATAAAAATTATAGCCAATAGGTTAAATTTAATCTGTAATAATATAATTCCAAGCTACCAACAAGGCTTTATCATAAACAGATCTATAACAAACACAGCTCTTGATATCTTAACAACAATGAAAGACCAGAAAGATAACTTTAAACAATACTGAATGCTATTTGTTGATTAGCAAAAAGCATTCGACAAAGTAAATCATAGGTTTTTAAAACAAAATGAACTTTGATTCAAAATTTGTTAACTTAAGCAGAAACCTTTTTACTAATTAGAAAGCCCATATAGTAGAAGAGAATAACCTGTCTGAATCTTTTAGAGTAGAAAAAGAAGTGTGACAAGAAGGTTCTTTTTCTTCTCTTCTATATGTATTAGCATTTGAATCAATGCTAAAACAATTAAAAAGAAAACTCAAAGAAATTTCACTAAAAAAGCAGTTCTTTAAAGTTACAGCATATACTAATAATCTAATAATTGGCATAGGATTAACTACAGACTGGAATACATTGAAACAGATATTTAAGATATATAAGCTTGCATCGAATACAAAAATTAACAAACATAAAACTAAACTAATTTCACTTACTGCAAGTGCTAGACAAGTTAGATTATTAAAAGAAAAGTACTTCAAAAAAGTAACAGAACATGAAATATTAACTATTCTGAAATATAAAATCCAACCTAATGAATAATCTAAAAAAGAGCTATGGTTAACAATAATCAAGAAGCTAAAAAGGTTTCTTAGAAGGCATATTCTAAAGAAACCTTTCACTTAAGAGAAAATACTAATAGTTAAATCATTAATAATTTCAAAAATTTGATATACAGCATATCTTCTACCACTAAACAGAAAACAAATAACAGATATCAATTAGATAATTACATTATAGATAAAAGAAACCTCAAGAATGTTGCCTAAATATTCAGTCTTTTAGCTTTTTACAGACTAACAAGAACTAGAAGTTCTAATTATAAAAGATATGCTTGTTACAAAATTACTAACAGTTTGGTTAAAGCTTTTAACAGAAACCTTCTTATAGTCTAAATTCAAAAAAGAAAATATTATAATAGTAATAAAAAAAAAAATCTCAGTTTTACAAGCTTTGAAAAGATCACCAATAAAATCAGCAGTTTGGCAACAAAATAGAAACTATATATTCTTGTCTGAAGAAGAGTAGAAAGAACAGTCAATGCTTTAACTGAATGGCCTTGGTGTCAAGAAGACTTTATAGCAAAAAAAAAAAAAAATAAAATCACAGTAAAAAGCCTAGCAGAATTTTTTTTAAAAAAAACTACAAATTTTGTAAATACAAATCTGAAAAGAAGCTTTAATAATCAGTAATTAGAGGTAAAGGCAATAAAAAAAAATAAAAATATTGCTTGGCACCTCTTTTACAGAGCTTTTTTGCTTAGTTATTGACTACAACATGTGAGCCTAAAAGAAAGTAGTGACTGTATATGATGCATTAACAAGCTTTAAACTATCAAGCACTTTATTATAAACTGCAGAATCAGCCAGAAAATTTAAAAGCTAGCTTACTCCTTTCTTGATATTGGACAAGCTGAATATTCTTTCAGAACATTAGAAGAAATTTTTAATGCATTAAACATAAAGAGTAAAGAAAAATTACAGGTAGCATTATAGTTACATATTGATATAATATATGAAATTTGGTGCCAATATACAAAAGTTAAATAAGGAGAGGATTACCAAACTTTAACAAGTATTTTAAGTATAATTAAATGCTATTTAAACAAAAAAATCAAAATAGTACAGTTTAGCTTAAAAAGGTTTTTATCTAAAAAGAAAAAATATATATATAAATACTTATATTACAGATATTAATAAATATTATTAATACCAGGTTAGCTGTAAGAATAGAATACAGAAGATTCTGAAAGGTTTAGTACAAGATTAAAGGTTTTCTATATGAGTAAACTGCTTTAAAGACTTAGTGATTATAGCATATTTTCACCAGCATTGGTTAGGATTATTGGTAAGCAAAGATAGATAGATAGATATGAAAACTAGAGTAGTTAAATAGAAAACCTACAAGCAGGTTCCAGGTATGGCAGCTAGTATAAAACCTTCAGGCAAATTACTTAAATTAGATAATAACTAAAGTTGTATAAGTGGCTAGTTGTACACTCTTTCCATAGTTGCCTTCTGTGGTTGTAATGCAACTATTAGCTAAATATACTATCAATAAAATCCTGAGTTGCAAGTATTTATCTTAATATTTAAAAAAAAACATAAATAAATATTATTAATAAATAAGTACTATATATGCTCCTAACTTGAGTATTAGAGTTATATTAAAAAAATATATATATGTTAATTAAGTTAAAAGATCTAAAAGAGCATTTTAATATTAAAAAAATAATAAAATTTTAAATATATCCAAAATTATCAAAAAATTATTTAAGTTTAAAAAATTTTTATATAATTTTTTTTTTTTAATATTAAGACAAGTAATTGTGATTCTGAAGTTTATTAATAATATATCAGCATATAACTATTATATACAACAGCTACAAAGGCAATCATAAAAAGAGTATACAACTAGCTATTCATGCATCTTTAGTTATTATCTATTTTAAGTAGTTTACCTGAAGGTTTTATACTAGTTGCTATATCTAGAATTTGCCTATAGGTTCTTTATTTAAACACTCTAGTTCTTATATTCATCCTATCCTATTAACTACAGTATTAATCTGCAAATATACTATAGTTACTAGTTATGTTTAACTTTATACTAAGCCTACCAGAGCCTTCTGTATCTCATACTTATAGCTGACCTAGTACTGCTTTAGCCTAGACTATCACTTGCAGTTAGGGCTAACCATTAAACTGCTATATTTTTGTAAAGTTCACTAAAACTCTAATACCTTTCTTATTCCATCTGCTCTTATACTTCAAATCTACAAAACTTCTCAAACTACCAATCCAGATGGCCTAGTATAGTATTTAAAGTTTCTTTTACTTTGGCAGTTCTGGCAACCTAGTTGGTGCATATGCTTCTCTTACATATTTTGTCATTCATTTTATTCTAGTTATTCTTTTCTAGGCCTTCTATTGGTCTAGTAGTATCATTAAAATCTATGCTACCTCTTTACTTGAGATTTCAAATAGGTTTCTGTACTCTGGTTTCTTAGTATTATGCATCTAGTAATCTTATTGTGAGTTTGCATTAAAGTCTTATGCAACACTGGTTATTTAATATTTCTCTATATACAT